ACCCAAACACAACGGCTCTTTTAAGAGCCACCTACAGTTTCAAAGAGTTGCAATCCTACGTTATTATAATGATTAAACTGGTTAATGTATCACTTAGTTTACTGAACCGTGATGAATGAAAGAAATGAGTGAGGTAGTGGTTTACTGAAGTTACAAAGACATTAATATATGAGTAACAGGTCAGTGTAAACACAAGCTTCTGTCAATTATGGATCATTCAAACTATTTATATAAAAATATGTAATAAAGTTCTAAAACAAGTATTCGGTATATTCCTTGATAGCTTTTGGAGAAGGTTGTTTTTAAGTTTACTAAAATCTATCGCTTCAACTGTTTCACTTTATAAAAAGGGAACAGGTGAGTAGAGCATCATTGAGTTTCTTATTCTGTCAGTAAATTATCCAAATGAATGTTTTTAATTATTTTAGTCAACCCTAAACAAATTGATTGTACCTTTTAATAATGACCTTACATGGTCGGCAAAGTTAAATTAACTTCAGAAAATCAAATCTGTTCTGAGAAAAAACTAATAAATGTTTAAAGATAGGAACTTGCCATCCCACTGAAAAACAGTCCGTAGAGATTTAAAGGCGTAGTTGTAGTTCAGTCCAACGTTTCATTTTGATTCATTTCTCCAACAGTCAACTATTTTCATAAAGAATATATATTTTTCAAAGTCAACTTTATTGTCCATCTTACTCAGTTTGTGTTTATAGACAGAGAGATCAAAAAGACGTTTAAATAAAATTATACAATTTACATATATGTATACAAATATATATATCCTATATACACCATCATGTATAATGATGGTGTATGATGTAGAACAGGGGTGCCCAACCAGTCGATCGCGATCGACCGGTCGATCGCGGGGAGATTCCCAGTCGATCGCAAGATGTGTCTAAAAATAGAACAACAATATTCTGTTTTATCGTTAATGTCCTATAACATAATCTTCCTGTGCCAGAATAATGCACTTGAACGCATCAAAGCTTTGTGATTGGCCGGCGTGACCCCATGTGTCGGGGCGTGGCTAGTGGGCAGTGCACTAATTCGCTAACGTTGTCCGTGTCAACAGGAGTGACAGTCCGCACACAAACAAGACCGCAATTATGGCAGAAGCAAAACATATATATAATTTTAACTCTGAGTGGGAGGATGATTATTTTTGTATTTATTCCAATTCAAAGTCCATCTGTCTCATCTGCAATGCGAGCGTGGCTTTATCGAAGAAGGGTAATTTAGGAGCGGTATTTCAAAACAGTGCACAAACGCGATGAGACGGAACTCCCTCCTAATTCTGCCCTCCGCTCCAAAAGGGGAGGGGCCTGAAAGGACAGCTAAATGCACAGCAGTCCATTTCCACCAGGCCCAACAACAAGAGCAAGGCTGCTACCAGAGCATCTTATCGTGTCAGTCACGTTCTTGCGAAACACACGAAGTCTTTCAAAGACGGCGGAGTTGTGAAAGAAGCTTTCCTGGAGGCTGCGACGCGCTTTAGGTGGACAGTAAAAATAACAGTAGCATTTTCAACAGGTTTTTGATATAATAAAAACTCAAGTTAGATACCGTTATTAATCATCTGTAAGTTTTAGTTTGTTTGAACTTATTCATTATAATTATTGTACAAAATGGTATAAGAATGCAAACTTAAATTGATTATAGTCTATTATCAATTCAGGTTAAGAAACTAGTGTTGCTTGCATCCTATTTAAAAAGGCATTTCTTTTTATAATCTACTAAAATGCACCAAAAAAAGGGTTTGATTCTATTAATTTTGTCTTTTTTTTAAATTGCACTTTGGCAGCAGATTCCTGTGTGTATTCAGATCTGAGTTGTCTTATTAGTAAGCCTCATTTATACTTTTGTAGCAACACTATTTTTATATAATGGCAAAGAAAGGGTTCAGAGTCTTTTCTTTTTTCACTGTGTCATATGTGGCAGCACTGTTCAATGTTTATTGAAAACATTACCCACTGTAGTATGTGACGTGTGAATAAACTCCAACTCTGTATCAACAACATGTGTGTAACTTCAGTTAAATACTTGTATGTGTGTAGATTAGAAAGAGGTAAGATAAAGGATCTGCAGTATTTTATGAAGTATTAATCGTACAAAGGTCAGTTTTATACAAGTAGAAGTGTGTATTCACCTGGTAGTAGGCTGTCAGTAATGGCTACGCCTCTCTATTTGGACTGGTAGATCTCGGCAGACTGGCAACTTTAAAAGTAGCTCTCGGTTCAAAAAAGGTTGGGCACCCCTGATGTAGAAGGAAGTGTGGTAGATAACAAGTAAATATAGAGTTACATACAGATCCATGTTACAGCAAAAGATGGAATAACTAAGAAGCACGCAGTATAATAATAATTACATGCAACAATTAAATAACTGCTCAGCATCTCCACCACAATCCCAATCTGCTGTGTCCTGTTTTCCTCCCCCCTGCATAACACCCCATCACACATACCAAACACAACGCAGAGTCCGAGGGTGTTAAGAGTATGTTTATTTAAATGTCCTCCTCTCTACTGGCCAACACAGGGAGCATATGCTGGGTGTAGAAGTTCTCCAGGAGGAGGAGATTTCCATGCCATGCAGGGTCTTTGGGGATGAGGATGATGATCGCCTCCTTCGTGGTCCACACAACAAAGTAGCAGAGACTACGGTCTGTGATGTGCAGCTGCCCTTGGACCTGGTGCCAGTATGGGTGATTCTCCTTGAGAATATATGACTCACCCTCCTCACGAAGACAGAAGGATGGTAACTGGACTGCCTCCGTGATGGTCATGTTCCTCTGGCTGTGTGGACACTTCACCTCCAGCAGGGCAGATGGCTGCACAAGTCCATCGGGTGATGCTCCCAAAACACCCGACTCACTCACAAAGAGACCAGACTCGAACACTGTCACGCGATAGGCCTGCACAAAAGCCTTCACCCCTTCGGCCTCGTTTACAACCCCCCAGTTGACAGTTGGCGATGTCTCTGGCCAGTGGGTTGTATGTCTCCTCTCGCTGTTGGTAAAGTTGAGACACCGGCTGGACTACTTTTTAAGTACCAGGCTTCCTCCACTGGCACTCAACATCTGTGGAGCTGATCTGCCACATGACAAATATTGCCAATGCTGCAGCGTGGCTGCATTTGTACATCTCCTGTGCACAATCACAGACAGCGCTCTGCATCGCGCCATCGTCTCCCATGCAGATCTGTAAAAATAAAGTAAGTACCATTTGTTAGCATGCTATAATAGATTGAATGAGCAATAATACAAGGATGGTCCGGATCTGGGGGTGGGAGGGGTTATTTTTCCATAGTTTTGTCCTCTTGTCTGATTGTTGTTATTGTTTGTTTTTTCTGTATTTTTTGTAATTTGTGTTGTATTGGTTGTGATTGTACATTGTATTTTTCTAAATGTGTATGAATACATTTTTGAAAAACATTTGATCAACAATAAAAAAGGATTTGGTCAGGATCTAGACTCAGTGTGTAGTTTATTAATTAATCAATGCTCTCTACATTAGGAAAACACATACCAGGTGTACCAGAGGGAGTCACACACAGCTGTGCCTAGATAACCAAAATCCTTGAATCTACACACAGCAAATAAACTCAAATGACACAACGAGAAAAAGGAGATCACACATACAGTATAGTCGATATAAAACTGGCCGCTTCAATCTGAATAGCAACTAAAACAAAACACGGGAGTGTACCTTGTTCTTGTAATCACTAATGTTATCCACAGCATACACAGAGACCACGAAGTTATTCAGGAGAAAACTAGTTACTAAAACAAATCACGTTAGTGTACCTTGTTAGCTAATGTTAGCTAGCTGACATTAACATTACACATTGCACTCATATTACTCACCGAAACCTTGTAAAGCCGGTCCCGCATGCTGGCTCTTACAGAACCGACTAACTCCCCTTTCATATAGGTACAGCTCTCAACGTGCCCAGACTTGTAGTGATGTTCACCTCGTTTTATACTTTTCGCCTCATTCTGAAAGAATGTGGTGAAATGTGCTAACGTGACGGCTGTCTTTGTGATGGTGACGCGTATTGTGCGAGACCAGAGACCTGTAGTTCACTGAGCGGTTTCACACAAAAAAATGTGTAACTTCACAGTTTTACGACACATTTTAATTTTTTTGACTTGCAAAATGTTCTTTTAAATTGACAAACATCATATGTGTCATTCGTGGCACAATTCAAACGGGATCAAAAGATAACCTTTCTCTCTCCATTGACTTCAATGTATAATTTTCCCCTTACGGTGGTCCCCCATGGGACCTTATTTCGGAAAAATTATGTATTGAAGTCAACGGAGAGAGAAAGATTATCTTTCGATCCCGTTTCAATTGTGCCACGAATTACACATATGATGTTTGTCAATTTAAAAGATAATTTTGCAAATCAACATTTTTAAAATGCGTCGTAAAACTGTGAAGTAACACTTTTTTTGTGTGAAACCGCTCAATGAACTACATCTCCCGTCTCGCACCACACACCAAGACGGCCGTCACGTTGGCACATTTCACTTCTTTCTTTCAGAATGAGGCGGAAAGTATTAAAAGAGGTGAAAATCACTCCAAGTCTGGGCACGTTGAGAGCTGCACATACACACAAGGGGAGTTAGTCGGTTTCAGAAGAGCCAGCATGCGGGACCGGGATTCTGGGATTTGTAGTCTTTCTAGTTGCGTATTTTTCATTGTCTTATATTTCAACAGTTTTACAACAAACTGTGACTTTTTTGACATGGAAATGATTTGTTAAGATTGACAAACATCATATGTGTAATTCGTGGAACAATTCAAACGGGATCGAAAGATAAGTGTTCTCTCTCCATTGACTTCAATACATATTTATTCCGAAATAAGGTCTCATGGGGCAAACAAACCGGTTTCTCTCCGCAGCTCCATGTCTGTGTATCTTAAAGGTTTAGGTATTGTCTAAGGGGAAATCATAGCCGCTTTTATTTTGAAGTACTCTGCACCGGAAGTGATGATCCCGCTCTTTCTAACTGGGAACCAGATCGCGTCTCGTGGGTTCTCTCTCTACATCCATGGTTCTCTCTCGGTGTTCCTGAGGAAGTGTGTGTGAGCAGCTGATCCATCGTCTGTGTGTCTGGATGAACCTCTGACTTTGTGCTCTTTCTTCTGAAGCCTTTAGCTCGGACTCTAGAAGCTAAGTTAGCATGCTAGCTTAGCATGCTAGCTGGTAACACGCTAGCAACACAGAGTGAGAGAAACAGGAAGTGGTGATTTAGTAAACATGAGTGTTGTGCTGCTCTCGTTGGTGAAGCAGCGACTCACTGCAGCTGCTGAAGACATCTTTGTTCTGTTTGAAAGAACGATAGCAGAGTACGAGGAGGAACTGTCTCGTTCAAAACAGGAGAACGAGAGACACCGGAAACTACTGGACGCTGTTTTACAGCCTCAGCTTCAGATCCACAGAGCAGGTCTGTTCCCTCTTTATTAACTCTTTAGACTCTCTATTATCACGTTAGACACCGCGGTGAAGTTAGTTTACTCTCCATTATCACTTTAGATTCTTTATTAAATCTCTCTTTATTGTTCTTCTTCGGTTGGCAACCAACAAATGGGTGCATTACCACCACCTACTGGACTGGAGTGTGGAGCAGTAGATTGGCAGGAAAAATAAAATAAATAAATGCAAATAAAATAAAAACAATAAAACCTAAACTCTTTTCATAATTACAGTTGTTTTTAAGAATTGTTTCAGCAGTTTAAAGACTTCCTCTGATGTCCCCAGCAGATTCCCCACAGTGTTTGACAGTTTCCGGTTTATTGCAATCTGCACAGAGTCCAGTGGGGTGCATGCCAATTATGTGAGTTTCTGGTTTAGTCCTGTGTGTCCTTAACCGCGTAATGACCTTTTCTTCCCGTGGGCTCCTGCTTCGTCTTCTACCCCTACATGTTTCTGGATGCTGTAGAGATGCCTTCCTGTATCGCTGACATCACAGTATTCTTGCCAAGTTTTCCGTAAATGAACATTAATAATGGTTTTAGCTAATTTGTATACTTCCTCATTCCCTTCTACCACAAAATGAGCAGGAACTCAAAGGAAGGACATTTCAAGCCCCCTACATTTTAACCCAGCATACCGACCTCCCAGATTTCAAGCTCCACAGAGCTGCTAGGCTGTCAGATGCTGCAAGAACTCTGGGCTGGTTGTTCTCTTCAACCCATTTCAGTGCTAGCCATATTCCCACTAATTCTGCAGTGAATACTGAGAGATGATCTGAGAGTCTCTTTGTTACTGCTACTTCACATTGAGGGATAAAGAATGCCTGTACGCCCACTCTCTGGGTCTTTTGAGCCATCCGTGAAGATGAACACTTTATTTGTGTGTTCGTCAATATGTTTTTGTGCAAACTGGTGTTTGTTTTGGTTTATCTTTTAGTTTAAGCTGCAGACTTGTGTCGATTGCTGGATATTAAATCTCCACGGAGGTATAGGCGATGATGAAACAGTGGGACTGACTTCTAACCCGCACAGAGATGCATTTAAAGTGCTAGAGCATTTCCTATCCACCCAAAGCTGTTAGTTGTGGAATGATTATGTTCCCAACACTCCAGTACGATTGCCATTGCGGGGTGAGCATTACTATGCCCTCTAACCCAATATGCCAACAAAAGCTTGATCCTCCGAATCCGCAGTGGTATTTCACCCACCTCAACCTGTATTGCTGATACAGGTGAAGTTTTCTAAATGCTCCACTACATATTCGGAGAGCCTGAGCCTGTACCACATCACGTTTAAGGTTGCTTTCTGCAGCAGACATATAAGCAATGCATCCATAATCCAGGGCTGCTCTCATTAGAGCCCAATATATATTTAGTGATGAGGTTCTCCTTGCTCCCCAATCTTGCCCAGAAAGACATCTCAGTAAATTATTAATCTTTTTGCAGTCGTCTCTGGTTTTGTCAATATGCTTGCCCCAGGTAAGTTTTTCATCACATAGGATTCCAAGAAACCTAACCACCCTAACCTGTTCTAGGACTTGTCCATATCGTTTAATAAATACAACTAGCAAAGCATATGACTTGGGTTTTTTCAATTGATATTTTTAAATCCCATTTGTTTGCTCATTCTTCCACCTTACCTACTGCAGCTTGCATTTTCCTTTTTTAAGAACTCTATATTACGACCAGTGTTTCCGTCAGACCAGGGTTGAGAGGGCGTCCACTGCGAGAGAGGGGGTGCACGCTTGAATTTTGACTTGAGTCGTCCCTTATAGATACTGTCTTTTTACGTTAGTGAGCCGGATCATTTGGCTCGGCTCTCTTAATGCGCCAGCTCTTTCGGCTCCCAAACGGCTCTTCATGTTACCACAGTTTACCACGGAGCCTCAGTTTCGCCGCTGCGAGGCTCCGGTGCTCGCAGCTCACGCGCGTGCTCAACTAGCACGGCTCATCGCGTCCAAATCGCGCACTTTCCGTGTTGTCCTGTAGCAGTAGTGCTGCACGATTCTTGCTCAAATGTGAATCACGATTTTCCTCCATAAGAATTGAGATCACGATTCTCATCGTTTCAATGAAAATATTTATTGCACTCTTACTCTTAGACGTGACGTGAGTACAATGAATTTAAACGGACAACATTTGTCTCTCTTGTAACAAAAACATAGAGTAACTAAAATGAATTTGACAGCCAACGACTGTGGCTTTAAACAAAGTGCTTGACTTAATCTCAAGTCTCTCTGGTAACAAAACATACAGTAACTAAAATAAAGATATTGCTGCTGCTTGAGTGCTGAACATAAAAAATAGAATTTTTGCAGCTTTATAATAACACAATGTAAACCTTGCAGTAGCACCTGTCCACAGTGGACACCCAACTACTGTACAACAACACCAACCTGTTTGTTACAGGGTGATGGCTTTCGTTATCTCTTTGTGCCTTCGTGAGCTGTGTGAATATGGTGTTCCGTTGAATAACGTTTGGCTTATGGATGTTTGCGTCGTTGTCTGGGGGTTTGATTTTTTTTCCGGGTTGTCCTTCTTTGCTAAAGCATACTGTATTTTATGGTGACGTTGCAGGTGATTTAATTGGTTTGTGGTGTTACCTGACGTCGTTGCGACGATGCGAGAACAATGCTTACAGTGGACGACTTTTTGTAAGTCATCATCAGGATCAAATCCAAAAAAGTTCCAACAACTTCCCTCTCACTCTCGCCAGAGTCGCCACCGGGATTTTCATCGGTGTTGTTGTCATTGTCCTCGACCTCCTCGTCACTAATTTCTGTTTTTCTTGTACTACTGTCGCTCTCGTCACTCTTTGCTAATCAGTGCTAATGCTAACGCTTCTGTAAACATACTGCCGGCTCCTGCAGTCAGTGAGTGTTGCCAGGTATACTTATTATAAGCCACATTGGGCTTATCTTTCTGTAAAGTTGCTTGGTAGTAAGTAATAATGGTTGTTGCGGTTGTGAGCTTGTAGATAGGTTATTTTCAAATAGCCGACCCGACATATATAGGGTTAAAGTGCTCATGTTCTTTTGCGCTTGTTTTCATAAACCTGGTTGCTTATTCCTTCCGCAAAAACTGGCAACACTAGTGGCTGCAGCGTTCACACTGCATGAGAGGAGGAGAGACAGACAGAACACTACCATTTGCATGCGATCATGGTACTTTAATGTTAAATGTATAGAGTATATTTGCTTTACATCCTTTAAGTATGATTGACATTGCAAGTTGGTATTATTCAGAAGCAAAATAATATATATTTTTTAATTAGGGCCTGAGCACGGTTCTGCACTTTCGACCTGTTTTTGAGGGGGTTACGACACTATTCATGTAGCGACATTTGGCAACGCCGGCAGGACGGGTGAAAATGTTAACATTCTGGATTCGATGGGTGAAAAATGTCCAACTTGCTCTCTAGCGCCACCTGTGTAAATGCAGTTTTTCGAAACATTTACAAAGTCGCAGCGTAACTCTGACGGACCTGAAATTTTGCACATTTATCCGGGTGCAGCAGCTCTACATATTATCTAAAAATCCCCATGAAATCCCGAAGCTCCGCCTACTTTGATTTTTTTTTTATTAGCATAATGTGAAAAACAGTGAAATATTAACTGAAATTCCAATTTCTTGATTTTCCACACCAAACTTAGTGCACAGCCTCAGTGGAGGGTCAGACACATTACCGTAGAAAATGAGCACGAGGTGTGGAAAAATGTGGCCGACATCAATCAAAACGTATTAGCAAAAAGGTGTGGCCTACACATAAATGCTCACAATTCATCCAAAATGTATCCAAATATCACAGATTTCGGTGGATCGGTTCAGTGTGTCTTGGGGAATAGGCACAACAAACAATGTTTATTTCGGACAATAGGGGGCGCCAAAAACACAACTAATTTATATCTCAAGAACCGATGGACTAAAAAAATATATGTTGTCATAGACATACTAGCAGGGTGAGTATAAACTGAGATTTAAAGGGTCGCAACCAATGATAAATGTGGGCGTGTCGTATTCATTTTTTTCTCGAAATCGAAGGGTTAAAAAATGTACCGAGCCATAAGTAGGGGAAAAAATGAGTTACAGCCTTTAAATTTGGAACGCATGTCACAGGCCACAACCTTTTCCAAACTGTAGAAAAAAATCGTACGTTTTAGCAAATATGGCTCAGTAGCACCCCCTATTGTGCGGTAGTCAAATATAGTTTCTTCGAACTACCCGAAACTTGGCACAGAGATTCCTCATGGAAATGCGGACATATTTTAAAATGGCTTCCATTATCCCCGCCCCCTATTAAGTCGGCCATTTTGAAATATGTCCATTTTAAGCGCATTTTCACATACTTCTCCTAGGAAAATTATCGGAAAAATTCCAAACCAGGACAAGATCAGCCCATATCCAATGCGATGCTAAATTGCGAATGAATAATCGACTGCTCAAACGGGGAGCTCGTAAGCTAACGGAACATGTACCAATTTTGACGATTTAAATGCCACAAAATCGCTAAAATGACTTTTGGATGCATAACTTGGAACATCCGTCACAACCCACGTCTTTTTCCAGACTGTACAAAAAAAAACGTACATTTTTGTACACCAGCTCAGTAGCGCCCCCTATTGTGCGATAGTCACATATAGTTTCTCCAAACTACCCCAATCTTGCCACAGACATTACTGATGGAATTGCGGACATATTTCAAAATAGCTTCCATTAGCCCCGCCCCCCAGAAAGTTGGCCATTTTGAAAAATCGGCGTTATTCATGCTTTTCAGCGCATTTTCGCAAACACCTCCTCGGGAAAAGATCGGAAAAATTCCAGTCCAGGACAAGTTAAGCCCATATCCAATATCATGTTCAATTGTGAATAAAATAGTTGCTAGCTCAATCGGGGTGAACGTAAGCTAACAGAGAATGTACCATTTTTGACGATTTACATGTCTCAAATGACTCCAAACTACTCGTATATTTTTC